CACCCACACAACCCTTTCCCCCTAAGCCCCCCATGCATTGCCTCTCATGGCGGTTCACTCATCATTAAGAAAAGAAAAAAAAACAAAAAAAAAAACCCACATTCCATGACAACCCGTCGTTGCCGGCAACGTGCCGCACCCATATAACCCTTTCCCCCTAACACCCCCCAAGCATTGCCGCTCATGGCGGTTCACCCACCATTCAGAAGGAAAGAAAAAGAAAAAAAAAAAGAAAAAAAACACATCCCACGCCATCCCGTCGTTACTGCACCCGCACAACCCTTTCCCCCTACCCCCCCCATGGATTGTCGCTCATGGCGGTTCACCCAAGAAAGAGGAAAAAAAAAAAAAAAAAAAAGACACATTCCACGACATCCCGTCGTTGCCGCACCCATACAACCCTTTCCCCCTAACGGTCGTAACACCTTGCACACATTGCCGCTCATAGCCGTTCGCCCATCATTAAAAAAAGGAAAAAAAAAAAAAAAAACATCCCACGGCGTCCCGTTGTTGCCACACCCATACAACCCTTTCCCCCTAAGCCCCCGATGCATTGCCGCTCATGGCGGTTCACCCAGAATTAAGAAAGAAAGAAAAGAAAAAAAAAAGACACATTCCACGGCATCCCGTCGTTGCTGCACCCATACAACCCTTTCCCCCTAAGGGCCCTAACACCCCACACGCATTGCCGCTCATGGTGGTTCGCCCATCATTAGGAAAAAAAAAAAAAAAAAAAAAAAAAAACACATCCCACGCCCGTTGTTGCCGCAAAAACAAAAAAAAAAACAAAAAAAAAAAAAAAACACATCCCACGGCATCCCGTTGTTGCCGCACCCACATAACCCTCTCCCCCCTAAATCCCTCATGCATTGTCGCTCATGGCGGTTTACCCATCAAAAAAAAAAAAAAAAAAAAAAAAAAAAAAGACACATTCCACGGCATCCCGTCGTTGCCGCACCCATACAACCCTTTCCCCCTAAAGGCCCTAACACCCCGCACGCATTGCCGCTCATGGCGGCTCGCCAATCATTGAGAGAGAAAAAAAAAAAAACAAAAAAAAACACATCCCACGGTATCCCGTCGTTGCCGCACCCACACAACCCTTTCCCCCTAAGTACACGATTCGCGATTTGCGTTTTGTGACTTTGTTTGTCTAAGTACTGGATTGTGATGTGCATAAGTTTTCTGCTCACGTGTCACTACCATAACTTTCAATACCTCTAATGGCGCATGTGAACCTGCTTGGATACGTTGGCCCGAGCTTGAGTGAGCATGTTTACTGTTTACTGTTAACTGTCAACTGTTACTATTGATCAGGAACCACAACTAGCAACGTCGAGTGTAGACCAGTCAGGTGGACTGAAGAGAGCAAGGCCATAGAAGGTGACGCAGTACCTCAAGGCGAAGTACCAAGTAGCTTTGAAGACATGGCTTACCGAGACAGCGATCGTGATCGGCGTGATTACCGCCTGGATGGACAGCGTGAAGACAGGAGGGAAGGGAATCGCGGCGGAGGACGAGACTACTACCAAGATGATCGACGAGACACGTCACGAGAGCGAGGTGAGAGTTCGGGTGAATACCGTCGACGAGCGCCACCCACATGTTTTGAATGTGGGCAGGTCGGACACTATCGTAATCAGTGCTGGAAATTGTCGGGCGAAGGGAACCTACGACCTGGCGAAGGCGGAGGAGGACAACAGGGCGTTTCACGCGAAACCTCCCCTAAACGAGAGCAAATAAAGAAGCAGATCGAAAAATTGGGCGTGTTATTGGCATCCATGCAAGGGCATTTTGAGGAAGAAAAGCAGAAGAAGATCGAGAAGGAGAAACGTAAGCAAGAAAAATTGGAAAGACAACAGCGCGCTGCCGGAGAACGGGAAGCGCAAGAGAAGAAGTTCGCGCGTAAGAACGAAAAACTGCGAAAGGCCGAGGAACTGAAGATGCTGATGCGGAAGGAAATGAGGATGGAAGCAACTTTGGTTGCGAGCGAGTTACGCGAACAGATAGCGGGTGGTTTGAGGCAACAACTGACGGACGAAATGCTGAAGGCGTTGGCGGCATCATCGATCGATCGGAAAGGGAAGAAAAAAGTTGCCTCGCCATCTCCATCGCACTCAACATCCGCAAGCAGTGGAAGCACGAGCAACGAAAAATCGACGAACCGAAGTACTGGGAAGTTGACGAAAACAGAGAAGCAAAAACGGAGTGCGGAGAAAGCGGTGGGGGGTAGCCCGCCGATGATGCTATCAGCAGAAAGAACACCAAGGACGAAGGGAGTGAAGCCCGTGCGACTGGCGGCAAATTTACAACATACCACACACAAGACGAAGGGAATAAAGACTCCTCCACGTTTTACCCCACGACGGGGTACTCCACGAACGAAGATCGCAGCTGCGACGGAAGCGGCGAGAAGAGCACAATTCATCTGCGACAATATTCGTGCTTTAGCAGATTTGGGCGCGGACGAACTCAAAGACATATGTAGGAAGGAGGATGTCGAGTACGAGAAGAAAACTATCGCAGCCATGAACATCGCTAAGAAGCAAGCAATAGTTGCATACGGGAGCGAAGAGGATGAGACAAGGAGTAGTGATGATGAGACCGAGGGGATCGAGCAGGAAGTTGCCGAAGAGCCTGAAGACGAAGGGGCAGAAGCATGAACCTTCGAGGACACTCATCGTTTGTGGAGCTTATCTGTTTTGTTGATTGAATATCGTCGTGAGCAGAAATTCGTAGCACAAGTGGAGAAGCTCTATATGATCGTGATTATACTGCTCACACTGGCCGGAGAGATCCGATGGTTGTCAAAGTGTATTGACTTATGGGTGTGCATGTACGTTGATGTAGGGATTGGGTTCATCGAAGCAACTAACATGGTGTACACGCTAGCCTCGCCCTATTGCAAAGGGCAGTACGTGGGACAAACGAGTCGACACGTTAACCAGAGATGGAGGGAACACACTTCACGATGTGACCGTAGGAGCAAGGACACGCATCTGTATCGATGGTGGCGCGATTTTGGATGGGAATCGTACGTATTGCTGCCGGCGGAAATTTGTGTTGAACAGAAACTTCTCGCCTTCGTAAGGACTTGGACAAATATCGTCCTATCTGCCCATCCTATTGCGAGCCGACTGTGAAGACATCGAGAGCAGAAGCGAAGGCATTGAATCATCTTCTCTATTCCTTACCAGCGAAAGGGCTCTTCAACTTGAAAGCAGTGTCGGACCTGGTACCGAGGGTCAAGCAGATCAATAAGAAGATTCAACGGATCCCGAGACGAGACCTGCAGATATCCACGATGTCATATGACATCAAGGATATGTTCAGTAAACTGCCTCATGCGGATATCTTGGAGGCAGTTGATTGGATTGTCGACCACTATCGAAGGAGCGGGAAGAAGTCGGTAAGGGTCAACATGCGAGGAAGGGGGAGCTCGTTCGGACGTACTACAGGAGCCGACCATTGGCGAGAGAAAGAGTTGGAGGAATTGAGGCGCTTTGTCGAATTTGATCTTCGGCACACGTACATTAAAGCAACAAGAATCTTCCTGAGACAGGTGGTCGGCATCCCCATGGGGAAAAACACGAGTCCACCACTGGCGTGCATTATGTGCGCAAATGCCGAATTCAAGTTCCTCAACCAGCAGCGAGGCCAACAGTGCAGTGTTTTTGGCATCCGACTTGTCGATGATGTGAGTATCATCATCGCATCAAGGAAGCGGGACATAGGGAGAGGGGACAGAGTTCAGGCAGAGTTCGAGAGGTGCTACCCGAGCAATCTGACTTTGAAGCGCACGGATAACGACGAAAAGAATTGGGAATTCCTGGGGGTGGAGATGAGACAACAAGACGTGATGCCTTACTTGGCGTGCGTACAGCTTTCCAAGAATGAGAAGACAGTGTGGACTGAAGAGAGGTTGGATTTCAAGATCGGGCAAAGTTACTACTCATGGGGCAGCAAACGGCAGAAAAGTGCAGTCATCGCAAGTCAACTGCACCGTGTCGAGAAGAATACAACAGTACAAAGTGAGTTGCATGAGAAGGTGTTGACACTGTCCCGGGAACTGAGGATGATGGATTTCCCTCAGAAGTTCTTTCTGCGTGTTTTGAAGAGTTTCGCAAAGGGGAGAGAAGCAATATGGGGTCACATTGCTACATGGTTAGCTGCGTAACCCGAAGGATGGATTGTGCGATAGGATGCGTTGGAGTACTGATAGTAGGGTGGTGTGGCGAGCTTTGTCTCACTCTGACGCAGTTTGTATGGGATTGTTGTTCTCGTTTATCACTATAGTGAATGTTTGTAATGCTAGCTTTGGAATGGGAGCTGCTGCAGGGTACAATGGACTGAGAGAATGAAATTCAGAATTGAACGTGATACCGTGTAGAACTAGGATGCGTTGGAGGACTGATAGTAGAGTGGTGTAACGTGCTTTGTCTCACTCTAACGCAGTTTGTATGGGATTGTTGTTCTGTTTGTTAGGATAGGTAATGTTCGTAATGCTAGCTCTGGAATGTTTAGAGGTAGGGCGAGGTGTGCATGTCCTTCGTCATGCTTGAATGTAGTTAGAATGCATTCTATTTTCTACCCACAGTAGCTATGTTGTATTGCAACAAAACGAGGAAAAGTTGAAGACGAAAGCGAGTGCTACTGGATCTGGAACACATGTTGTCTGGAGGGGTAGGAGGAATGGCTGAACTTGTACTATACATTTGTGTTTTCCAAATGCGGATTGAAGTGAAGTAGGATGTAGGGATAGGGCTTCTTACATATGAATTACAAAACGGGAGGCTGCGCCAGCCGATGTACGGGTGCTGCAGGTGAATAGTTTACGAAGGTGGTACTGTTTTGTAGATTGGAACTGTCCTACAGGAAGGACACCGGACCAGTCTTTGGCTGGTACTGGGACCCCTGTACTCCTGGGGTACAGTTCCGGACCGTTTTCCGTAGCCAGTCCGGAGAGGGGAATGCTATATCAACAATAGTTGTTAGTTTGTCGGTCCTTCCGGGTCCTACATCGTACACACTCCGTCATTTCCGGAGATGGTAGGAGTGAACGCGACTGCGGGGGATGTGGAACGAAGGAGTAGTTGAGGGAGAGGTACATGGTGGAAAAAAAGCCCCCTGAAGACGACTGCGTGGCGGCAGTCGAAACCGGTCGGGGTAGCCATACCCACCGGCATGAGTTACAGTTGTTGCTGATACATTGGATGAACATCTGTACTTGGCGACTTGTTCGCGATTCTCGATTTGAGTTTAGTGACTTTGTTTGTCTAAGTACTGGATTATGATGTGCATGAGTTTTCTGCTCACGTGTCACTACTATGACTTTCAATACCAATACCTTTCCCCCTAAACCCCCCATGCATTGCCGCTCATGGCGATTCACCCATCATTAAGAAAAAA